CCTTACCTAGTATTGTCGAGCTTGAATTGAACACAGATACCAGACCAGGACAATCTACGTCAACGAGACCGAACTCGCCTACACTTATTTTTATATTTTTTTAAAGATATAATGCATAGCAAAGGAAATGAATTAGTTGGTTTCGTAATATAATTCGAGAGCACATGCGTCAATATGGTCAGTTAGAAAGACCTATCAGATAATTGAACGAGAATGAATCAACGATATCGAAGATTCAAGAGTGTGGCATGGTTCGAACTATCGAAATATTGGACTAGGTCGAATCATGACAAGCCCACCTAAGGTCTAATAGACACGGGTCAAGTGGTCGAAATTTTGTTTTTTTTCGATAAAAGATAAGGCCACGTGGGTTCTAATATGGTTGGAAGAAGATAGGCCAATATCAAAATAAAATCGCTTATTAAAGATCGCTGTATGAAGATTTTGCCCAGTTATCCCACGAGTCAAGCGCTATCTTAGCTATGTCTATATTTATACGAGTCGTTGCGATGAGCTCAGGTAGGTGCAAGCAAACACCACACGAGATGGGCACCAGATAGAAATTTTGATAAAAGAAAGAGTGATGGACACTAATTTAAAATAGCCAAACTGCTATATAATCCTTCAAAGTGTTTATTTTACTTTCTCGAGGGACCCTACGAACCGATCTCACGTTTGTACCAATTCGCGTCCTGAGACACGAGTCAAATCCTCCTGACATGTACTCCAATCTTGACGCCAAGTATACGAAATGGTTTATATTACATATATATTAAATTTCTTGTTATAACTTTTTCTCAATTTTTTCAGAGTATATCCAAAAACCCAGAACTATTATTTTTAAATATAGGGTGAATTTTAACTACCCCCAAGGTTTTTGTTAACCCCCCCCACCCCCATATATTACCGTAATCTACTCGATTTACTCTCCTGATCGATGGGATTGAGAATATTACCGGTCTCAGAAGTAATTTACCATCTTATTTGCGAATGATAAAATACAAAATCCGAACAATCTATGCATGTCTTTATGGGCCACGTGTAGTAATTTAATATCAGCTACTTCATTCGACCGAGTAATGGCTCGGTCAAAAAGAGACTTCTATACGAGCTATTCTGGAACAATTTGGGCTTGTAGCGATTATCCTGAATGAACACTGTGACAAAGGCATCCAGCAATACTATATTCAAAATGACTTCGAGCCATCCGCAGAGGTCTACCAAGAGGTGTACTAAACCTTTGTAATACCTGTTTAATCGACAAACCAGACTAACGTGCAATTTGATGATGGAAGTGGCTCAACGTGGCGTCTGACAAGAGCAGACTGAGATTTCCTCTATAACGATTAGTGAATAGGCAGTCTTCATCCACTGGGAGCTTCAATTGACTTCGTTTCGATTCAAATAGAGGTCGAACGCAGTATTGACGCCCACTCCTCATCTTCGTTGTGCATAATGCAGTCAAGTTACTGGTTAGCCTATCAACATGAAAGCAGTGATCCCGGCATCAACGAGGATGGTTCACTGAGCGCTTCAATAAAATACATGGAAAGTATATAAATTACGGTATTATATAGGGGTGGGGGTGGTTAACGAAAACCTATGGGGTTGTAAATGAAAACCTAGGGGGCTAACGTTTCCCTAAGTATATTTGGAATACATGTTTCGATCAAATATTTCGTATATAGAGATTAATCTACTTACGGCAATTTTGTGGCGCCAATTCAAAATTCTATCACATTATTTTTTAATTCGCCATATTAACGTCAAAAAAGTACTTATTTTAACCTTCTCTATTATAATTTCTATAAAATGGATTAATGACGCCGACCCTGAGGTATATACCACTGTTTTCGTTTACATGCTGTCATAAACCTTTAATGTATTCCCATGTGATAAGCGTACACATCCCACATACCAACCAGAAAATAACGAACATGCAAACGCTATTATCTTTATTATGGATCCTGTGAGCCGTTTTGCCATGTTCGAAACCAATAAATTTGATACTTTGCTATTGTTTCCAAATCATATGCTCGGTCTACACAAATTTTAAGCTTACAATCGCTTCACATCTGTGAAACTACCTAAAGAATATTTATTGTGATATCTCCTTGTCTCGAACGCAGCTATATGTATGCCCACTCGTTGCATTTCACATTGGTGAAGGCTTATGTCTATTTAAATCGGAAGCCAATTACAATCGTGAATTCGATTTTAATTTCGCCATTACATACATCTTAAAACGTAAATTGTTTAATCAAACCATGATACAATTCATCTTTCTTTCATTTGAATCCACACATCTTTATGCGTAGCGTCGTCAATGATCATAGTGAACCGAGCTTACTCGTAGTGAAATGCTGACCCATATTGAAGTCTTATGAATTAATCATCGGTCCAATTGTGCCTTTTTTACACGATTAAATATTAAATAAAGGTCGGCTCGCGTCCCAATCTTAGTCATTAGTCGCGTCCCAATCTTCTTCATTATATCTATTCTACTTTTATGATGGGGAAGTGTTGTGAATTCTACATAATATGTATCGAGTGCGCCCTAAAATGCGCTTTTTATCCTCGTTTGAAGGGTTTCAAGCTTGGTGTAATAGAGCGTACGACTGTTTTATTCATTTTATCAAATGTATTATTTTTGACGCTACAAATTCAATCAGAAGCCTAAGCGACGTTTACTTTGTCCCGTGGTCATCAAGGTGATGATCTATACCGCACCGTCAAGTAGCGGCAATAGACAGAAACTGTGTGTTATAAACAGACCTGTTTTTGGAGACCTGATAATTATCATAACGTAGCGAAATTAGCTGAGCGCTCCGCCCCATCTGACCTTTATCGTTCGCATGTACAGTAAGCCCTCGGTTATGTGATAACAGTGGTGGAAGCAAGACGTATAAAATATATAAGAGAATAAAATACAATGGAATTTGTTTATAAATCCGTATCAGTGGTGGACATGAAAAGTTTATATAAAAGAGATGTTCCATTTAGGGGGTCATTTGCTTCCCTCACCCTTTTCCTTGTTTCCTTGTGGACATCGCCCTAAGCCCTAACCCAATATATAGATGGGATTATTGGAGCTTAGAATACCTCATCCATTTAGACATTTATGCGATTTTTTTGGGGATTGTGGCAATGATTCACCAGTCAATCACGGCGGCTACACGATAAGAGCGACAACAAAATCCTCGCAACGCCGCACTTCTCATTTACTATCTCTATCTCTTTATCTCTCTCATCTCTACTTGTCTTATCTTTCCTTTGTCATGTCTTCCCCTGCGACCCCCATTTTTGCCGCTTGTGCTCTAAAAGCGAGCGATACTTTGCCGCTCCACATCCAGACTCTCACACCTGCGCTATCTGTAACGAAGAGGCCCACCCGAGCGCCCACAGGTACAATATGCTGTTGAAGCACATATTATATTTTCGGAGGCAGAAAAACTACAAACCAATAGTACGTCATTTTTTTGAAATAGATGCCCCGATTGTCGGCGACCTGTTCACGCTACGTGTGACAGAGCATACAAGGATGATAGGGAAGGATTCGGGCAGCAAAGTTGGTGTTCTACAAACGAGTTGTGCTTGATGAAAGAACAGGTTACTGGTGTTGATAAAGAACAGGATGTGCAAGAAGAAAAATTTTGACAACGCAGTGCTAAGATCACAAAAGATCAGCGTGACGAGATCGCGATGAAGCAGAGGGAGAATCCAGGAATGAGGCAGATAGATCTCGCAATGAGGGCTAACAAGAAGTTTAGCGTCGAACTGTCTCAGCCCGTCATTTCTGCAATTCTCTTGTCCTGTTCTTCGGGGTCTTACGGGCCCTTAACCGTTCTAAAGAAACAGCGCATCTGCGAGAAAAAAAACGTAATCTTAACATGACGCAAAAGCAATTGGCAGAATGAGCGAAACTCCACCTCAATCTCGCAAAATCCCCAACCCATCCCACCATCTCCAAAATTCTCAAGAGGAAGAGGGAACTCATGGAAATAAGCACCTTGACAGGAAAGGCTACAAAGCTACACGTGCAGCTACGCTTTCCATATGTCGAGACCGCAATATCCAACTGTGTCCTACAGTACTAGGCACGAGGCGTCGCGTTGACCGGCTTATTGATACAATCTAAAGCGCGAAAGCTATGTGAGCTGCAACATATTTTTCAGATCTTCAACAGCCTGAATTCTCGGATGTTTGGCTGGAGAAATTCAAGAAAAGGCATGGCTTCCGCTGATTCCGCTCACATGGAGAAAGTTAATCCGCAAATCTTATTGCTTTTCAAGAAGCCCTGCCCGAGTTGCGAGCTAACACAGATAAGTTCGTTCTTCGTGATATCTAGAACATGGATGAGACTGGCCTGTTCTACGCAAAGGCAACCGATAAGACTATTGCGGCTAAAATATTGGAAGGCCTTATGAAAGACAAAACGCCCATCACTATTTTTAACCTGCAACACAGATGGAAGTGGCAAGCTGCCGCTTTTTTTCATCGGGCATACCAACAAGACCCGATGTTTTGGCAAGAAGACTGGTGAGCACCTTGGATATTATTATCGTAGCAACAAGAAGACCTGGATGATTGGTATTTTCATTCAGGAATGGCTTTAAAAGTTATAAAAGAGGACAGCAAAACGAGGGTAGAAGATCCCGCTGCACCTGGGTAAGACTCCTTCTCATTTAAAGGAGAATTTTTTCCTTAAACATATGACTGTGATGTTTTTGCCTCCCAACACAACATCTAAGGTTCAACCAATGAATGCTGGAATCATTGCAGCCTTTAAGCGTCGATATCGGAATTTTCAGCTGGAAGACGCAATGTCGCGGGACGAAGTCATAGAGAAGGACATATATAAATCTAACCATCTGCAGGGCATGCAGTGGTCAGTCCAGGCCTGGCAACACATCGAGGAGCGGTCCGTTGCAAACTGGTGGAAACACTGCGGGATCCTTAGCCTGAGGGAGACGGATGGATGACCAGTGGAGTTGGACCCCATGGGTAGAGGCAGTGCTGGCAGCGATGGCAGTGCCACATCCATGGGTGAAAAGGTTGAAGATGACCTCGACAAGCAGCTCCACTATAAAATGGCCATGCTCCGCGCACGTGACCCCATTGACATTATATTTCTCCTCAATCCTATCAATATAGATAAGATTCATGGAGAATTCACGGGTGAGGAGCTGCTCCGCATGGCTGAATAAATAAGTGATGCAGAAAGCGAGGGTAGCGATGAGGAGGATACAACGCAGATTTTTATTGCTGATATTTCCCTGTCTGCCCTGCGCTTGATGATCATGAAACTTGCTGAGGACCCTGTTGCTATCATCCAACATATCACTAAGCTTCGATCTTTTCAATGTAAAGCTAGGATTGACCAAGACAAAAGAAAGGTTCAAGAAGATCTCAGGTCATACCTAAAAAAGCTCTTTAGTAACAGTATGTTAATAATTTCATATGTACTACATACACAATGCTCTATCCATATATCAATATTGAGTTTTTTAATATTCAATATTAGGAAATATAGAGTATTTAGTACTTGTATAGTTACAATATCGGTGGATAACATATGTTATGAAATAATGAGGAGATACACATAAAAGGACACTTTGTTTTACCAGCTATAAGAGGAATGCAAGACGGCGAATAAACCAAGCGCGCGCAGCCTTTCTGCGTAACAAAGCGATCAGGCGATTGCTCTCCAAATACGAGCTGGTGTTTCTCTTGCTGCACTTCAAGCTGGAAAGAGTCTCGCTGCTGCGCTCGGTGCAGTTTCGACCACCAGGTACGTCTCTCATTGTTTAACTGAAAACGAGGAGCTGTTTTAGGAAATTTAATCCTTATCAGAGATCGACTGACGGAAATTTATGTTGCCCTACTTATGCGTGACCAGGGTGGCACGATATTGTTTTATAACGCACTAGAGGTCTCAGACTACAAATAATATGGTTGTCACTGGCAGAAGCGCAAATATAAGAGTGGGAGGTAGCGGAGATGGTTCTTGAGTGGTCCTGACACGTGCTTGGTGACTGTTATGTCATGTCGACGCCCGACTTGGTGTGTCAAAATCGCAGGTTCGTGAGGACCGATAAAATCTGCTGATCAGCCGAGAGGTCATCATCTTAGACAGTTATGTGCATTCTGCAGAGATTTCCATAAGTTGGTGTTTTTTTTGCAGTACAAATTGAAGGGGTTTTATGGACGACTTTTATATATTACTGTTTTGCCGTTTCTAATGATTTGCTTGTAGACGTTTCATTGGGGGATATATTACATTAGAGATTCAAACAAGAACATAGTCCTTGTTCACTACTTTGACGAGACAAAATAAGGAGAAGGGACGCCAAGTACTGACACGTGTAAGCAACGGAAGCTATGGACTTAATCGGCCGCTACCCGTTGCTACAGAATTTGTGTAAACAAATTCTGCATCATAACAACCATTAAGAGGAGAAGTAAACAATTACCATACAGATTCTCGCCCGACTTCTTCTTTGTAATTCCTCTCCGTCCTCTCTTCTCCTAACATGATCGCATATGAGCCTCCCTACAAGTTCTCTTATTGTGCCCAAGATGTCCACATGTCTTGCAAGGTTTCCTATTCATCTCTTTCTGCTGAGAACCGCTTTCCTTGCGTCTCTTATCAGGTCGTTCCATGGGGGCCGAGAAACCTTTGGTGGTAAAAGTGGTGACAGAGAGAGATTTACAACTAAGACTGAACGTATAGAAGGTTGAATGTTGCGCGATAGGTGTCAACGGTGTAGAATTTGTCGACTAGTGTGATTGGGGCCACCTTCACTTTCAATGCAAACGCGCAACCGTGGCGGCAAGGCATAAGGAAATTATGGTACCTTCCACAGGTGCAACTACCAATCGGACGATCCGGAGTTGGAAGGTTGTTCACATATTGGTGATTTGATCCACCTACGAACGTTCCACATGTTTGCTCCGCCGGGAAGACGGTGTACATCTTAGCAGCATTCAACTCCTCACCAAATCTCTTCACCGCCAACGACACCAACGGTTCAACCCAACCAATTGCGGACTGCGCCCGTTTATGAAACTTCTCCACTTGGTGGCGATGCAAAGCGTCAAGCATCTGAAGAAAAGGTAATTCCCTCATCTGCTATAGAAAAGAGTATGCGATCTCTGCTAACTTTGAAGTGACATGTCCAAAACAGTGAACGTCACAAGCGTATGTTGCCCACTGAATGTGTGGGATTTCCATTATGTAATCGGCAGCAAGAGGCTTGATTTTACAGATTTGATCGATAAACTTGTCGAAATCAGCTTTGTTATCGGCGTAGACGCATTTCCAGAAGAGCCTAATCTAGCAAAAACATACGGATCAGTGTCAATCATGACTTTCCATCATTCCCTAACAGCTCGACTCGGATAGTACATACCTTTTGATGACAATTTCTTGTTTAGTCTGAACGTTTGCAGCAATGTGATAGCAACAAAAGGCATTAAGAGCGTTCGGAAGAATTTTTGCCACTGAGTTTATCAGCCCTTTTCACGGTCATTTACCACTACACTTCCACGTTCGTTGATCCCAGGATGCGCTTTCCCCAAGCTAGTCAAATTTAACCCCACTTCTTCTCAAATTCAGTTGGAACAACCGACCTTCCCAAAATCGCCAGTTCATCCTGAACATCCATTGACACAGCCAAAAGAAGGATCTGGACAAAGCGGGTTTTTGGAAAGGTCCCACCAACAGTCCCAAAGCAGCGAATGTGTTAAAAAGCGTATCTCGTTGCACCCGAAGCGATGAATAGGCTATGGAATCGTTTTTCCATGCCGTTTCCGCTTGAATCTTGTTGTGTTATGAGTTTCACAATATTTTCGGGATCCTCACGAAGTAGATATTGAACATAGCCTTCCACCAGATTAAACTGCCTCGTTGCGCATTGATTGTCTCAGCACACACTGTTTCCTTTGCTTTGTGAGCGGTAGTATACGGAATGTCGACACCAAGTTTTTTTTAGAAACTGCTGAACATCCTTAATAGGAGCCTTGCTGCTCACTGTCATGTCTTAGCAAAGCTGCTTTACCAAAAATGTGTGCTCACGCTGGGACCCCCGAATTTTCCTTATGCGATTCTTGGCATGAATGCTGATCTTGCACCTGACTGATACGAAATTGTTCGGGTATTTTGTGGAATGATATGCGGGCTTATGCAGTACAATCGTCACCTGAACACTTGAGGTAAGCTCTGGTCTTGTTTCTGTCGAAGACTTTGTAGCTGACGTGATCTTTTGCTGCCTGTGATCGAATGGCCATCATCGCTTCATCCATAGTAGCGAATGATAGTCCTTTTAAAGCTGGGACGTCGGGAGTGATGGTAGGTGGCATGACGGTTGGTTGAGGATCCTGTACAAGAAACAGGTTTGGAGCGATGGGATTAGTGATCTTAAGGAATGATGTCTCGGAGATGATATTTCGAGACTGCGAGGGGAAACTTAAGGGGAATCCCTTGCGTCGCTTGCGAGGCTCAGACCAAAAAGACTAAAAGTGTCCTATCTTGTGAATAAATAAAAAGTGTCCTATTCCTCGAATTTTCGATAAAAAGTGTCTTATTCTATGTAATTTCTCTAAAAAAGATATTATTTTGTTATGGAATAAAAACAATATAGGTTCCACTGTAATCCGCCACATTTTTTCGGCTTTTCGACATAGTTAGATCCCCGTCTTGATATCTCCTACGCCGACCTAGAAGTTTGATACGTACTATAGCACGTAACACTAAATTCGGGGGCAACATTTTTAAGCGTGGATCTTTTTTTTATAACGTTGGTTAAATATGCATGTAATTGCTTGTATCGCGGAACAGAATTTTTTGCGGTGTTTACGTCACAAATATTTCTAGGTTTGGATTTTCGAACTCTGGTCATTTCGAGATAAATATGAATACATCTATGAACGGTCGCGTTTAGACTTACGTCTTCTTGTTCGACCATAGATATTGCTTGTGCTAGATTATCTATTATTTGGCGAAACATTTGGGTCTTGTCGGCACAAGCTATAAGGCCATGTATATACAACGTAGTTATAGTGAATACACGAATCGGGTTGTACTTTATACAGCTAGCAATTAGCGCGTGGGCTAAGCGTAATCGTGCTCGTCTCTCTTACCCTGATTGCGTTTTAAGATTTGATCGAGCGGGAAATATGTGTTTGGCGGTTCAATCTTCCATTTGATACAGTTTCTAACCAGCAAAGACCCGAACGCGTAAACTATAAAAGGTCTAGCATGGTGATTCAAATCATTGCACATCTTTCAAATTTTAACTGATGCAATGTTACCTTCAGCTATTGGACGATAATGCGACGAGCCTTTATGGAGTCGTCAGCCTGCTGAAATATCCCGGCAAAAATATTAATCGAATCTTTTGTGCTTGAAGATATATGTTTATACGATTTCGGGTCGACGTGCGTGCGTCCGCCGAATATTATCTACCTCATATTATGCTATTCCAGCTATTCGAGTTGCCGCAATCCCTTAGTTGTTTCATCATCTATAAAATATAAAAACTTTGCTAATCCAGCAAGGTTTTTACGACTTTACCCGCATCAAGTTTATGCTATAAGTACTGGAAAATCACTGCATGCGATTATTTCAACATAGCTTAAAAGCCATGGCACTAATGGAATGTCCGCTAACAGTCGGAAATACACCAATACCAGCAGACTATACATTTGACTCAGACCGCGAGTATCATACGCGTTAATCCAATTTTTTTCTTTCTATTTTATCAAATTATGCAAAATATCATGTATGGTATCGTTGAAAGAACGTCGAATATCTATTAGTTTTATCGAGAAAACTATCCGCTTTTGCTGATACAGTGCATTCCATCAAGATAGCCAGAGTATACGCAGTTGCCTTAAATTCTCATGTACAAAATACTTTTAGAGAAAGGCGAAGTATTGTAAATGACCACGTTTGGAAGAAGGTAAAGGTAGAGCTTTATTTGATGTGGTTAAATCTGAAATACAATCCCTTCGTATCTTACTTCGAGTATTTGTATGACAAGCTTCAAAGCAGCTACCCTTTTACCACCCGTTGCGCGCGTCTAGCAACGACTGACGGATCAGTTGGTTGAGATAGTTCCGTATAGTAATCAGCAATTGGAGCACTGCCGAACATTCCATTTGACGGTAATATGCCTTCTTCAATTACCCATCAAGGTACACAATGAAGAGTAATGTCATTTAAATATAATCAAAATTGACCCGATTTGGCGTCAATGAGATGTTACGGGCTATTCCTTGGATACATTATCTGCACAATGGTACATAATTTGCATCGCAGAGTTTTTTGCATTCGATATTGCATTCTTTATTTAACCAGGGTATTGTTGATAGATAACGATGCCAAATAAATGAAACCTTCGACAAAAAATTGCACAATGTATCGCTCTCTCTGCCCTACGTTTTGGATATTAGCAGTATATGGTTTGTCGGCTGGTAAGTCAGTTCGCGTATTTATAAAACAAAATCGATATCTGGATAACGTACACTTCTATGCATCCTTTTTTTGAACCAAAAGCTTCATTGAAGTCTATCTCCATAATTGTTGAGATAGAAGATTACAGTTTTTTAAATTCGTTCCCATTCACGTTAGCTAATCAAACAATTACCCTATAATCTTAAGAAGGTTTGTGCTTATACGGCGTAAATCCTTTTAGGATATCGTCTTCTTGTAGAGCATCTACTAATCAATAAATTTTCGCCGCGAAAGCAAAACTACCTTCAAATTTGGTAGGGTCGGTCGGTTTATATTGTAGTATCATTATCTATTGCTGCCTTTTCGGTCAGGGCCTGCACCTCTAAATTGCCGTGACTTAAGCGCCACGCGACAGAAGACTTATTTGAATACACTAGGTGTCATCCAATAAAAATATCACCAACTAATTGCTTTAGGAGTATGTGCTTCTCCGAGAGTCGATTCTCGATGACTTCAGGGTTTACAAGATGATAGTGATGAGGATGGATGTGTATCACACATTTTTCTAGAATCTTAGTCATTCGTAAGAATTTGTGTCCTTAGGAGGATTTGAACCGGCACCAGTTGGTTTAAGCAGTGGGTGTATCCTGAGGCACCAAAGATCGCCCAAGGATTAAAAGTAGGATTGGTGGACCTCGATAAAAATATCAAAACTCATTTTGCAGGCATTATTTTTTATTCACTATATTTATAAATATTCAATCTACTCGTCACGCCATTGCTTACAACGCAAATTGAACCGGTTGCATAACTTAAATTCAAGATAAATGGTATGATTGCGTGTACCTTGTGGTGTATTGATTACAAAAGTCAGTATCGTACGAAGATCAGGCATGGGATCTGACGCGTGTTTGCCACACGGAAAGATAACTATCATGTTCTACTTCTAAATAGAGATGATGCTACGAGTAAGTACATAGACGGCATTTATTCTCCTACAGCATCAGCAAATATGTACATTTATCCATATTAATCGATAATGACAGATTTCTTGCCAAAAAGCCCTCTAATCTATTTTCAGGTGTCTTGTTTAATCGCACTCTTGGGCATTGCGCGATTCATTTTTAACTCATTATTCCCAAAAATTTAAGCCAGTTTCCGCTTCTTTAAAACCGCTTGATGTTTTGAAGTTTGCTGACTCTTGAGTCGTTGTTTGGGGACCCGTTGACGATAAGGCTTCTTGTTCATCTAAGTAGCAAATTACATAAGACGAGTATATGTCGAAAAAGAGCTGTCTTTTTATTTAGCATTCTCATGGCGACGCGATATATTGTACCTCCGCCACAACGGTGGTATTCTGCTTTCGACCACAACCTATTTTTGTAAGTAATGCGACGACAGATGAACCTTCTCTACTCTGACCGCGAATCCATTATCTAACACTACAAGTAAAAAAATTATGTACTCACCATGCAATTTTTGTAACAGAAAGTAGCGCCGACAAGATATACTATCGTGAAGGCTAATGCGAGCATGAAAAAGGCAGCAATCAACTGACTAAGAAAGAGAAGGTACATAATATTATGAGAGGTCCATCGCCATGACAGATTATTTAATAAAGTGGAGAAAGAAGAAGCAAATTTCATTCACTTAAATTTGTTGTTCTAACGATGCACGTTACTCTCACACTCGAGACGCTGTTTTCGAGAAGACGCGCAAATTCTTTTATATTGATTTTTTCATGCACCCAAATAAGCAGCTTATTTCTGATCTAGCTAATTTTCAAATCCAATTATTTGGCCAGAGGAAACGAAAAAGTCATGGATGCATCTAAATTAATATAATGATCTGTAGACCTTCGGTACATATTCTCTTTTTATCCTGGGCTAGTTCAATTTGTTCAGGTCACAGGTCATTACTCGGGCGTTTATGACTATATTATGCTACACGACACTAAAAAACTAAGGTATTGGGGATAGCTTAGCTAATTATAAGACGGCTAGCGAAGTCATATCCACTGCAGCAATTTTAAAGAAGCGACCATTCTGGACTTTTAATTAGTTGAACGAGCCGTTTACATGTCATTGACACCAAATCGGGTCAATTTCGATTATATTTAAATGACATTACTCTTCATTGTGTACCTTGATGGGTAATTGAAGAAGGCATATTACCGTCAAATGGAATGTTCGGCAGTGCTCCAATTGCTGATTACTATACGGAACTATCTCAACCAACTGATCCGTCAGTCGTTGCTAGACGCGCGCAACGGGTGGTAAAAGGGTAGCTGCTTTGAAGCTTGTCATACAAGTAATCGAAGTAAGATATGAACGGATTGTATTTCAGATTTAACCACATCAAATAAAGCTCTACCTTTTCCTTCTTCCAAACGTGATCATTTACAATACTTCGCCTTTCTCTAAAAGTATTGTGTACATGAGGATTTAGATTGGTTTTAAGCCGCGTAGATCTTCAGATCACCCTGGGGTGGTCTGAGAGTACAGTAACACTGTTTCAACTCCTTATAGTACCAACAACCTTCATTACACAATGAAGCGTTTCGGCCAGTAGGGCCTCCAGCCCACCTAACTATCACATACCTATTGTGCGGGCTGGCAGGGCGGTCACCCATTAAGAGGTTGCTCGTCTACATGTTGACCTATCCCCCTGCGCCTGAACCGAACTCGCTTACCGCGGGTACCGATCCAAGAACCTCCCGGTCCCAGTTTCAGTGCGTAACCACTTGACCACTGGGATCAATTACATGAGGATTTGAGGAAGTTGCCTATAATGTGGTTGTGTAGGTAGATTGCTCTGTGGTCAGTACAAGCAGAGGGTGATCTAGTACAAGCTAAGATTGTGAGGATTAATGAAGATCAGTTGACTGTTGCAGCTGCGATGTCGCATTTGGAAGAAAATTGTAGTCAACACTATGACACATTGGGTTCTTAGGTATACAATGCGTTTTAGATGCATAAACAAATTCTTATGTATGAAGCGTTATATCGTATGCTACTTAGGTGCCGTGGTCGTGGCAATATACCCCATAGGCCCTACGACAACGTTGCTTAGTCAACCCTGCACCCGTGGATGTAGCGCAAAGACAGTTAACATAATGGCGCACACCGATAATATCCCTACAAACCAAGCGCACACTTCTAGTGGTAAAGCAGATACACAGACGTACCTTCCTCATGTTCCCACGCAGTAGCAACGCGCCCTGAGACAACGTGGCATTCAGGCAATGTGTGCTACGAGGTGCTTATTCGAACAAGTGTTTTGCAAGCTTATCTGCGCCACCAAGATCTTCGCTTTACGGAGAAGTTGTTTGTCGGACAGCTATTCGATAAGCTCTTTCTTGTGTAGCCTCTCCGTCCGTAGCTCAATGTCTTTTAGCAGCTTTCGGTATAGATCCCAAATCATTATAGCTTCGTCTTCTATCGGATCGTGAGCATCCGTCGCCGTCCATCCACCTGGTGGTGCCATCAGTGACTTGAATTGTTTGACGGTGATTTCCCTGACCGTCCAGTCCTCAATCAACTTCTTTCGCAATGCTTGTGCCTGAGCACTGTTCTCCTCTTTCTTCTCTGCATCGCGAGTCAGGAATTTGAGCAGCTCGTAGTCGCCATAGAATCTAACCAGCGTCTCCACCAACGTGTCTTCACAGCCATTCATTTCATTGTGGAGCTCGATAAAGGTCTCAAGCAGCTCCAATTTCTTGTAGTTGAGACTGTTACAGCTAAAGTACAGTTCCTTGAAGACATCGTCGACACTTTTTCTTGCCTTTAACCAGACCTGCGGTAACAGTTCAAGCATTCTACGTCCACATTCAGCATCAAATTCTACTGAGGAGGACCCGAGTCGATCTGCCTGTCTCAGCACCTCCATTGTTGTATAGCTCGTCGCGAAGATTCTAGCTTGTTCTTCTGAGGGCGATGCTCCATTCTTCATAAACGTTTTTATTCCGTCCACTATACTCACGCGCTCTTTCGAGGGGAAATCTGGATTGTAACCGTACATTGTATCCCATTTAATCATCGTGTATAGCTTTCCGATTCGGCTAGCAACAGGCTCCGATGAGCGAACTCTGCCAAAGATCACATCCAGTAGTTCACCTACACAATCAAAAGGCGCAAAGGTCCACGCCCTATCTTCACCGTCGACATTTTTGTCGAGCATGGTGTCCCTGATATTGGCGGCGGGAGCCGAAGCCGAGCGAGCGACGTCTATGGTAGCGAAGCCAATAGCTCCCGGGGCACTCTTGATGCCAGTAAGGATGACTGCTACAGCCAAGGGGCCGGTGACGTAGACGCGCATCGGCGGGGGGGGTCGGTCAATGTGGCGGAGAGGCGCGGATAGTGAGACGACAGATGCTCGTGTCCAGCAAAGCTTCAAGCAGGCTGCCAATGACGCAAGCTTAAACGATGCGTGAGATCGCTTGCGGGCTCGAGCCTGTGCGACTTCGCGTGTTGCCGTAAGCCGCAGAGCTCAAATCGTGTAGTGTGTCGAATGTCGCGTTGCGATCTACAATGACGCCCAGACCAGCTGATTTAGCCCACCACTCGTTGAGTGAAAGGTTTATGTCACTCACCAGCTGCTCGGACCGAGGTGTTCGAGGTCTTGCCAAAGAAAGGCAAGGGGGGATGACATGAGTCTGCACGCGACAATTGGTGTCATTTGTTGTAAGCAGCTTTGCCTGTATGATCAGAAAAATATGATTTGTCCACAACAAATGACGTGTGAGACCAACGCACTCTTCGCCCTACCGCCGACATCAGCCGACTGCCGTGGATCCATACAGGCAATGTGCAAAGCAGTGGCGAGCTACCTCTACGCTCCATCCTTTCCATGCTTCCTCTGGGCTCCTCTTGCTCGATTGTAAAAGGTATCGTAAGCTAAGATGCAAGAATACATCGGCCGCCAGGAAGGTCTTGGAGCACCAAAGTGGAAGAGGCTGATACATGTCGTAATCAATTGTTGTCAGGGGAATGACTGCCTTCCAGTGCCAGCCGAATGTCAGTGTAGCGGCATCACTCCTAGGCACCGCGTTCGATGTGCTCATCTATCTTGAATATGCGCTTTCCGCGCAGTTTCACAAAGCTCCGGTTCGCAAAGCAAGTGATAGCTCGCTACAGGGATATTCCATTGAATTGAGCAGCTGCATATTAGAAGCGCCTGACTCTCCAGAAAGAAGGCCAGAGCATGCAAATCGTCCAGGCACAAAACTCCGACGTGCAACGTCTCTTTTCAAAAATCGTTCAGACTTGCCGAGCGCGACAGCCACCGTAGGTATTACCTGTGTTTTGTGACCACGGCAACGCACACACTTGCACGCGAGAGCGTCGACCACGTATTGCGAACAGTGCGCCTTCATGTGCACTTTTCGCAATACGTGATCATGATACGGCCGGCATCCGCGTTCGCGGAATCTTATTCTTGGACGATGGGGTAGCCGTGCGTCACCAGTTCCCGTGTGTTGCGTTCGCAGTGAGTAGTACCTTACAAAGCGGATCGGGTCCCATGCTCGCACGCACAAAAAGAACTGGTTGGATGGTTCCCAGCAAATGCGCCTCCACCCGGGGAATCGTAAAAAAACACCAGTGTTCGCCTAAAAAAACACCGTTGCGATGAGACTATCCATTAACCTTGTTTAATATATACTCAAAAGGGTAGAGAAAATACCGCTTTCGATTGAACTTCGCTAGAAACGTTTCTAAGATAAGTCGGACCCTCCGCTTTTTGACCGGAATGCGGTCGAACACCTTCGGTCTATCGCGGGCAAAAGAGAGACTTTGGATCTGATTTTTTGGGGTTGTCCAACCGCCCAGGGTTGCTGGCTTACACACATAACCTACTGGACCGGATGCACGGGAAACTCCGACCAGTATGCAGCTTCATGCGAGTTTTTGCATGTCACGGACGTCCCCGCCGTTGAATCCCATCATTTCACGGCGAAAGCTGAGCGCGTTTGGACATTCAATGGAGGCTTATGTGTGTCAATGGAAGCGGATGTGGTGGGGGCATTATGTTTATTATGTATCACGATTATATGGGCTCAGCGCGATCGGGGCGCTCACGAAGGTCTTTCCGTCACTTTGGCGGGATGTATATACGAATACATAGTTCAAAGTTTTCGGCAATTACACGCACTAGCGATGCGGGAGTGTAGGGAAGCTACACACCCAGGTGGCCGGAACTCGTCTAATGCAATGCATTGGGCTGATCACCACGGCCCCATATAGAGCTCCGCACACAGCGGTGAGACTCGTCCAACCACCGGATCATTCGACACTGGCGTTGCTATCCTGGCTTAGGTCTTTCCAGACGTCTTGTACACCATAATTTCGTATTATAGACAATCTGTTCCCCTCTCTCTGATCACCGGACTGCAGTCTTCACTTGCGAAACGACGGCTCCTGCAACGGCGCAGGTACAAGCCAAGGGCGTGACGGCAACATCTGCAGCGACGATTTCTGAACCGGTGGAGCTTGCTGCTGTTGAAACATAAGCGGCCTCGGACGAGACAGTCTTTGCAGCGGCGGGATTGGCTGCGTCGTCGCTGTTAGAGCGAAAGGTATGATGGTGGCGGTATGTCCAACAGCATTTACATTTTTACACACCCATAAGTTATTAATTAGGACTATTGACGCTTTCCTTAGCATTACGTCGGCAAAAACATGTCTTCTCGACATCATCTATGGGAGTCAACAAAAAGTAATCCAACGATGGCTTTGCGCAAAAGATATCTCGTGCAAGCAGAAAGTAGACCAACCCACGCCATTTTGTTATATGGTGTGATCGGTCGTGCCATATTAAATCTAAAACACACACGCGACGCTAGTTAGCCCTGTTGCACAACCTGTCAGCAGCAGCATTATCAACCTGCTATTACTATTCAAGAGAAGAATAAGTATAACCATGTTATGATGCTGCAATAAACGTCGATGAGAAATAGGAAGGCTTGTGCCAGCGTGAATTCAAGTAGACCGGTGCCATATACTGCAGTCTCCTTAACAACACAGATCATTTAGCTTAAATATCGATGGTTAGTATTTCACACGGCATCGCAAGTACCTGATGAGTTGCGCCAATTTACGAACCAAACAACGCCTGGTTGGTCGCGGACACCGTAAGTCACATCGACACGTTCAACAACCTTAGTATTAAGTCGAACATTAGACCATGATCGCTCCAGGCCCCCTGCAGCCATCGACACAACATTATCAAACCAGCAGTCACTTATCAAACCTCATTTTTTTACTCACACCCACGTACCTGGATTTTACTACTAGTAAAGAGTTTGCACCATCCGAAAAGTTGATAAACTCCCAGAACGCGACACCAGCGTGGATCTGCTCAACATCAATAACAACACTACATAAGAAAATACCAGCAAAAGCAATATACACAACAAAATGTGGTTTAGTTTGTTAGTCACTCAGTCATCAGCCACGTCGAAAAAGCACAATTTCTCTCTCTTTCTTGCATTGCTTTGGCTATGAGTCCACAAACTATAAAAGCCCGTCCCTCGTATCCTATTATTGTCTACTCAGACGATTGGCGGCGATCTTAAGAGACGGCGGGAGAAACGGCCGGGAAAGAGAAGTACAGGAGCAATATCGAGGAATGCGCCGTGACACAGTCGACGAGACGGCATGCACGTGCAGCGATTGCTGAGCGTGTGCAAGGGCGAGCCCTGAGCCGTCGTCACGAAATTAAAGACTGCAGTCCGTTTATAAAGTGGAGTGTCCGACTTATCTTAGAAACGTTTCTAACAAAGTTCAATCAAAAGGGGTATTTTTTCTACCCTTTTGTGCATATATTAAATAAGGTTAATGGATAGTATCATCGTAACGGTGTTTTTTTAGGCGAACACTGGTGTTTTTTTACGATTCCTCCCTCCACCCTTCTCTACTTCTGTTTTGTCTATCCGTGGTAGTCTCGTTTGCTGACAGTGTTTTCTTCTGTAAGCTACACTACGCAGAAGACGGAATATTAAGACCCAAGCGGATCCTCAGCTTTATCGAATTGCAGTGTAGTAGCATCCGTAACGTCGACACAGTGGCATGTGATAGCGAAGCTAACCACACTGTGACGGTCTCATACGCTATTCGATAGGGTTCACTACTGTCGGAGCCCTCCTGCTGTTCACTAGACGTATAATATCGCTCTTTACGAGCGCGCATTCGCACGTCGTTATCCCTACATCTGATGCATGTCAACGTTGCTTTGGTGCTCTGTAGCTCTACAGCAACCAAACACTTGACAATGCCTTGGAAACAAGAGGCTACTCCATTGTTAACAAAAATGCGAACATATGACGCAAACCTATCCGGCAAAACTTGAGCAAAGCGTCAGTATGTCAGAGCACATGCATCCTCAAACGACCATCACTAGTTGCTGGTGCTCCTTTTCAGAGCCAAAAGACCGTGAGAAAGAAAAGGGTGACAAGGCAGTAGACACGGTGGTGCCTCGGCGAGACTGTTGTAGCACTGACGGCATACATGATAGAAGAAATAGTTTCTGACAGGTTACGTTAGCGTGAGTGTTACTGCAAGAACTGTTACAGGTTTTGGGCAACCTCACCTGATTGGCTGACAAGTTAACATATGCGACGGAGGAAGACGATCGCCATGTCATACTGACACCTGAAGACAGCGGGAGAGACATTGACATACGGACGTCATATGGGACCAGGGATGGCACACGGCGATGGACACGCTGGACGTATGCCAGGTGCAACTTGACCAGGTCAAGCTGCAGTGGTGGTCATCAACTGCATACAATGGAGTTAACAACGAAGGGCAGTCAACACACGACATATTTTACGTTTACTTCCTACTTCTACTGCACAAGTGCACCTACCTCGGACAGGTTATAAGCCAAACTAAACGTGACGATGGTGCAGCTAAAAGAACTTCACCCGTCGTGGTGGTCGACAGTCAAGACAAGGCCAGCGACGGCCACTTGGAAGAAAAGTCGGCAGTGCCATTGGCGGCGATAAACCAAATGCTGGTTAAGCTTGGGGACATCTCCGAAAGAATGAATCAGATGGAGGTCTTCCACAAAGAGCAAGCCTGCAAGCATTGGGAGGACTCACCCGAGCCGAGTAGTCGTCAGTCGCAAGAGAGTTGTCGAAACAGGGTTGAATCTCCGAACCCTGGAGCATACCCCTCCCAAGGGACCTCCGAATGTGTCGCCAGCTACCTACTTTGGTGTTCGACGACAGCAACAGGCAGGTGTTGAGATACCCCCTGCAAGATATGCAGGCCCGGAAGTCAACATGAGTCAGGCACCCGACCCCGGTGTATACAAGG